TAGAAAGGCCAAAAGTTTTGGTGATGATTACTATGTCTTTCTTACAGAGGATGATCCTCAGACTTATGAGGAAGCAATGACTTCTCGAGATGCATCCCTTTGGAAAGAGGCAGTAAATAATGAAATCGAGTCCATTATGAGTAATCATACATGGGAAGTAGTTAATTTGCCTCCAAGAACTAAACCAATAGGGTGCAAATGGATATTTAAAAAGAAATTAAAGACCGATGGATCAATTGATAAATACAAGGCAAGATTGGTTGCCAAAGGTTATACACAAAAGAAAGATATGGATTATTTTGACACTTATGCTCTTGTAACAAGAATAGCATCAATTAGAGTGTTAATTGCTTTAGCTGCAATTTACAAATTACATATACATCAAATGGATGTAAAGACAACTTTTCTTAATGGATTTGGATTGTTATGTGCAATTGATATTGAATATTGCTTTTTTGTTGGACTGTTACGTATTAAAGGCAATTGTATTGTTCCAAGTTATTGCAATTCAAATGGGCAGTTATGGTTTTAAAAGCAATTGATTGACTTCGGTTACAGCAAGGGAAATGAGTAGAATTTCAAGTATAAAAAGGGGTGGTTTTCTCATTTGAAACACACAACTTTTCACTTGAAAAATCTTTGTTTCTCTGTGTTTTTTAACTTTTCAGCCCTCCTTCACCATTGTTACTTTTCTTATATTGTTCTATATCTCTATTAGAGTGTGCACTCTAAAAGGAGATCCGTCATTGTATCCTGGAGGTCAATCCGCTGCTGAGACTTTTTGCACCACGAAGATTCTTCCAATAGGGGCGAAATTCTGATCTTAAGATCAGAAAATTTTCCAAGATAGACGCTGCAATTCTCACTGCCAAATCACTTTCTGACATCTCCAAAATTGAGCCTTTTGCCGGAGCTCATTTCAAGAGGTGGCAAGAAAAAGTATTCGACTCCTTGGATGTGCTCGGTTTTGCACAGTATCTCTCAACAGAAGAACCAAAACCTTAAGTGGACGATTTTGACAAAAAACTTGATACATGAAAGAAAGGAAATAAGGTATGTTGCCATACTATTCTCAGTACATTATCAAATGAGCTTAAATTCTAACAAGCTTTATGATGTTTATTGCGCTTATAAGACTACACATGAGATATGGGCAATCTTGAAAAAGAAATATGTTGTTGAGGATGTTGGATCACAAAAAAATGCTATAGGAAACTTCCTAGATTTTAAAATGATAGAAGAAAAAGAGGTATCCATGCAAGTCCATGACTATCATTTATTGATAAATGAAGAAATAATTCTTCTTGAAACTTTTGTGGCTGGCTGTTTAATTGAGAAACTTCCAGATTCATGGAGAGATTATAAGAATAATATGAGACATAAGCGGAAACAAATGAGCTTAGAAGATGTGATAGTACATATTAGGATTGAGGAGACGAATAGGCTTAGAGATAAAGTCGATAAGGCCAAGGAACTGACATCCAAGGCTAATGTTGTTGAAAACCAAGTGCCTCCTCCTCAACCTAAGAACAAAAAACTGCATAGTTTTAAGAACAATAGTAAGAAATTGTTTAACAACAAAAACCCCAACGCTTTCAAAAAGAAAGGACACTATTTTGTGTGTGGGAAAACTGGACATTTTGCCAGTCAATGCAGATACAGAAAAACTAGAGACAACAAAAATCCTCCTAAAGCCAATCTGGCTAAGGGAGATGATGTTTTTGCTGTATTGCTGCTATCTCCTTGCTGTTTTTCCTGCTATTTCATTGCTGTTCTTTTGCTGTATTGATGCTGTCTCTCTACTGCTTTTCCTGCGATTCTCTTACAATTTTCCTGCTGTTTCACTGCTGTTCTTTTGCTGTTTCGTTACTGTTCTTTCACTGGTTTTCTACTGCTGTTTTGCTGCCAATTTTGTATTAAAATCCAACATTATTAACATGGGGAAAACGCTAACCCACCCTACTCTCAGACTGTATGGCAGTTTTTCAAAGTAATTTTCATCTTCCGCACGTTTATTTTGCGGTATAATACACAATGTTTGACATTCTCTCGGACTCGTATGCACTAAATTGACCCGTGCCTCTAATTGTTTTTTTTTTTGTTTTTGGAACGGGATGTCCAGGTTAGTTTGTGCCCATCTCAATTAATCTCCCGGGGTAGATTGAACTCAGGACCCTAATTGTTTTAGTTATAAAAAATAATTTTAAATTTTTTTAAAATGATATAAAAAATACTTAATTTTTATTTGCAAAATACTACGTTGACAATCAAATTTCACAACCTTCATTTACAACCCTAACGTGTTCTTAGAATGGTCGTTTCTTCAATGATTATTTCTTACGAAGGAATAAATGTTCCTTCATAAGGAATGAATGTTTCTTATGAATAGTTGTTCCTTATACTTTACAAGGAACATATCATTCCTTTGTAAGGATTGCCAATTTCTTTGTAAAGAATGATCGTTCCTTGTGAAGGAATAAGGAACGACTGTTCTTTATGAATGAAATATTTGTTCCTTCATAAGGAACATTCATTCCTTATGAAGGAATGACCACACCTTCATAAAGAACATCTGTTCCTTATGAAGGTACGAAGGAACAACGACAATTACCAACTTAACTACTATGTTAGGGTTTTTTATAAGGAACATTCATTCCTTATGAAGGAAGGACCATACCTTCATAAGGAATAATATTCCTTATGAAGGTACGAAGGAATGACGACAGTTACCAATTCAACTATTATGTTAAGGTTGTAGGAGAAAGTTATGGGTCTGTTTGTTTAAATATTTTTAACTATCCTATTCATACTATTTTCAAAATACCAGTTTGTTTTCCTATTTTGAAAATACTATTATATTTTTTTTAACTATTTTAAACCCCTTAAGTTTATTAATTTAACTAAACACCCCTAAAAAAAGTTTAAAAATTAATAAAAACACCCCCACCCACCCACATTTGCCAAATTCTGACCACCATCGCTAAAAAGTGGCAAGAATCTGGTATAATGACGCACTACAGGCTGGATTTGACCGATAATGCGTTGATCTATTATTTTTCGGCCAGATCCACGACCAAAGATCTAGCTATTGACAGTCAGATCTTTGGCCGTAGCTAGTCGTCAACAACGGTTAAGATATGATCGTCGTTGACCATCAATGATGGCCATATCTTTGGCCGTCGTTAACGACCAAACATGGCTATAGATCTGATCTTTTTCGACTAGATCCACAGTGGATCTGGCTGGAGATCTAGTCGATCTTGCACCGATACGACTTCGACCACCCTTCGGCAATGGTGGCTGATTGCCAGAATTTAATGGATGGGTGAGGGTATTTTTATAATTTTAAATGTTTTTATTACATGGGTGTTTAGTTATTTAACAAACTTAAAAGGGTGTTTTTGATAATTTTTAAATCCAACCTTGTTATTTGCATAGTATTACTTCTTCACCTTTTTTTTTTTTTGTATACTTCATTATCTTGTATAACCAGATCAGCTACAATATCCTATCGGCACAAGTTTTTGGCCGGCCCTTTTACATAAATCTTTTTTCAGTTGTCGGTCCAATTTTAGCATGAAAAAGCTATCTCCACCATTTTATTCTTCCACTTTCTTCCGGTAAAATAAGACAGACTGTCAACATCTTATCTATTTTAAACTCACAACGCCGAACCGACTCACAGAGTAAGCGATATGTCCAAACCAGAGTAGAAGATTTAAGTAATCGGTTAAATCTCTTATTGATAAACATGTCGATGAAGGATGAAGGTAACCAAACATTGCTCCTTCAAAGGCCTTGATTTCATTTAACATTCTAATTGACAACCTAAAATTTTCCGAAATAACAAGAACAATTTGCCTGACTAAATTTTGAAGTTTTAGAATAATTATAAGATAAACAAGTTATCACCACGTGTGATTGGGTATAATTCTGGAAATAAAAAAAATCAAAACAAACGGACGGTAAAACAAAAGATATGCTTTGCTTACGCGATAAGCGGAGGTGGAGAATGGCAGAATTGAAGATCCAATTTATCAGTTTAGGCAGAGAAACACGGTAAAAAGAAGAGATGAAATTGGATTCAAATCAACACGCAGACTCAGACTCATCTCATGACCGTGATTTCTCTGTCCAAACAAATACAATGGATCAGACGTTTACTTCTGATTTACCCATCCAACATATTTCTACATACGAAATGATCGACAGAGAAGCAAAATTAAAGATTCAAAAGACAAAACGGAAAAGTCTTAAAGAGCTTGATTTACCCGCATAAATAATTGAAAAGGACCGCAAGGTGGAGAAGAAAGTAAGTTAGGGTTGGTGCGGCTTGATTTTGGAAACAACACTTTGATATTTATAGGCATGACATCCTATATCGTGTACGTAGGCTCTAAGAAAACCCTAGCTATCCTATCAAATCACACCTATCTACAGCTAACGCTCCGCCAGCTTATCATTTGTCGAGTATACTCTAGACCTTTGAAATCGAATATCGTAGCTTAATATTTCCGAAATTATTTCCAGAAACTTTTTTTATATATTTTTTATATTTTTTCATATTTGTTTTATGAATGACATTAATTGAAAATTTGAAATACATAGTGAAATAGAAAGTTTAATATGAAGTTTATCCCATCGTTAATTTTATCGTTTCAAAAATTAATTGAGATATCTATAAATTAGTCTAAATACACCGGTAAAAAAAAAAAATTGAAAATTTGATATGAAAAAAAAACATATATATAAACCCCTCAAAAAAAAAAAAAAAAAACGGTAAAAAAAAAAAATTAACTGAAATTAAAAATAATAATAATATAAAGAGAATAAAATAGAATAGACATACAATAAAGTTACTTATATCTTGTTTTATTCTATCCCACAATCCTAACTTTGTTAACTTAAAAAATAAGTATAATATTAAAAAAAAAAAAAAAATTTAATATGTATACTAAAGTATTTTCTAATTCGTAATTACAGATATTACAATCCTTTACCTCTTCTATTTTGTCCCCAAAAAAGAAATTCATAAAAAAATATTGAAAAGTAAAATTGATATTAGTTTCTGGACACCTAAATTATTGAAAGGGGGTGCCCACAGATTCGTTGTAGCACAAACTCAGAAGTGCAATAAACACTAATTTTTACTGATTAAATCACTAAATTTAAAGAACGCTTCTAAGTAAACCCAGGTACCAACTCTGAAAGAAATATGATACAAATGAGACCCTGGATTAACTAGAAGCGACATCTTCTCTATCCATAACGTCCCAGAACAACAGCGCACAAAAATGAGACCCTGAATCAACTTGAAGTGTTCTCCTCTTCTTCCCAGCAGCTCCAAAACCACAGCGCACATGCAATCATCATGACTCGGAACTAACAAGTCATACTGGAGCCTCAAACCCATGCGACAACGCTTTTTGATATATATGTAAGCTATATTTATAAATGATGGCCAAGATGCAAAAGCAGAAATCCTTAATGCTTTTAGACAAACCACAGGATGGGGTAGTGGCAAGATCTCAATGCTTAGTCAAGTTGTTTTGTCCAGTCAAATGGTTCCCAGTCTCGAGCAAAATCTGTAACTGCCTGCTTCTGTGCCTCCACAGACTCGTGCTTCCTCCTACGATACATGTCCTCCTCTGGCAGTTGTAGCATTCCTCTTATGACATTAAGGCCCAGGCTGCTTTTAAACTGTTTTTCGTCATCAATTACATGAACAAAGCCCTTATTCAGACCAAATTCAACATGGAAGTATGGAAAGTCCTTTGGAATGGAACCTCGCAAGCCCTTCACACTTGTATCAATAAGCTTCTTTGCATTGTGTTGGCTCCACTCATCTTCGGCTTCATCAATTGCCTAGAGAAAACTTCTTTAAGATTTTTGTATTCTATAGACAAAAGGTACAGGTAATGCGTGCAGAAAAAAAGAGCATGGGGCCAGATACATTCAGTAGAAAAACATAACAATACTACGAATTTCTTTAAATGCTGGATAAGCATATGCCTAGCCTCAATTTCTTTCGACTCAGATATATTATAATAGAAACCTGAAACTAATTTGACAATCAAGAAGAATCCTACACAGAATTAAGGCCGACAAACTTATGGACCAATCCAATAAATAGCCATATTATTAGAGACAAGAAGGTTTATCTTACTTTGAAACAAAGTGAGGCATTAGAAAAGACAAAGCAAGCAGAACATGAAACACTATATGAAGAAAACTCAGAAACCTAACCTTTTTAAAATAGAGAGGGGCTTGCTTTGCAATCTTTTCAGGCAAAGGAATGCATTCAATCAGACAATGACGACGCTGTTGTGCCAAACCCATCACTGTCTCAAGAAACACTACTTCTTTCTCTTGCTTTGCAAACATCATAATAAGGCATTTCTTGAAATTGCGAATTTCATCCCACACATTATTGTCAACAGTTCTTGTGGATGACTCATGCTGCACAGCAAAACTCCATTAGAAAGAATAATAAAATCAACCAATAAGATAGAAAAGGAACCCCTTTCTTACCCTAACAAGAAAAAAAAAAAAGAAAAAGAAAAAAGAAAATTAAAATCTACCTATTATTTTGCTTCCAGAAGCATACAAACAACTCGACATTTTTTACTGAGTGAGGAACCCAAAACCCCACATTTGGTAGACCAAGGTGAACTCAAGACATATGAAACCATCCATAAACAGCAAATATCAGTTATACCAAGGTCTTTTTACGTCCAGCACAATTTAATTCTAGAACATTTGAGGATACAGCTGATGCAAAATCATGAATACAAGTTTCATTAGAAACATTTTATTTTTGGAATTTAGAGATATTACTTCTTTTAAGATAGATTTAGTTTTTCTAGGTTTCCCTGCTTTTGTAGAATTCAACTAACTTATTAAAAGTAGATTTCTAATTTATTGTTTTGTTTAGGATTTGGCCACAATAAACAGGCCTCTTGCTTTGTCTTCGACCATGTAGACCTATAAAAGAAGATTATATGATGAAAGAAATGTCTTCTCCTAAAGTTCTGCTTGCTCTTATAATTTCTATTCTTTTATCTAATTCTGTCTAATTTCATCTGTTTTCCATCTTTTCTCTCTCATTTCGGCATTCTATCAGTTTCTATCTCCAAATCTTCTCTACTCTACTCCTTTTCTCATTGTCCTAAATCAACAGCTCATGCTACATTCACCTTTTATCATGTCATCTGTTCAGACTAAATAACTTCATTTTATCGACAGTAACACATAGCACGTTAGGATTTCATATCAAGAAGTAACAGTAAACCCAAAAAATATATAATTTTGCTTTTGAGTGCCATGAAATACAGATGGAATGGCTCAATTTTAATAAGGGAAATGCTAGATGTACAAAGACTCTTACAAAGAGTCTTTGTATAAAGTGATGTGGCAACTGTCACACCACTAGTTTTACATCAATCTTCTCTTTCTTTTCACAAATTAGTGTGATGTGGTAGTTGCCACATCACTTTGTACAAAGACTCCTTGTAGGAGTCTTTGTACATCTAGCATTTCTCTTTTAATAATAACTGAAATTTTCTCCAAGGATAAGTTAATAATGTTCAATCACAAAAGCAAACCCATTTTTTTTTTTTTTTTTTTGTGGGGTGAACAACTATATTACATTACCTCATTGTTAAGATGCAGCAATGACCAGCACAACAGGCTGCCACTGTGGCAACATCAAGTAAGTAAATTTGCTAACGCCACAACAAGATGTCTTGGCCGGTTTGGATTCTCAAAGCAAAAGAGACATCGTTCTTGCTGAGTCAAGATGTGCTTCACCATAGCTCTTCAGAGCCCTTATTATCATTTCCTCCCTTCTTTTTCCTTGACTTTCTGCTTGGACCATCCTCAAAATCATATTCATCATCTGCTCGACCAGATACGCTAGATTGTTACTCCGAATTATCTTTTGCGCTAAATGCAATCAGCATCATCATCCTTCTTTCGGACAGAAATATCATGAATGACATACTAGATAAGAAAAAAAGATTAAAGAAATAAATTTTTTACATAGAAAAAAAATTAATATAGACAAAAATTAAATAAAAGAAATATCAATGTAGCAGCAAGTCCAACAATTGAATTCTTTGCATATAAAAAGAGATATCGAACTGCAATAGTGGGCCGGTAATGTCAGTATGAATAAAGGAAAATATAATTTTATTTTATTTTTTTGGACAAAAGAAACTGAGAGCAGTTTATGTATAGATAAACTGAATATTCAGCATGTATTTGCTCATATACAATTTCCAAATTCCCGAGAATTGTTACCTTAAAATAATGAAGATAATTACTTAACAAATCTACAGCTTCGGCCAATAAAATAGAAGAGAAAGGAGGGGAGGCTTACCTGCTAAAGTTTCCTTCTAGTTCAGTTGAATTATCACCTGCACCCTGCTTTGTTTTCATGTTCTCAGCTTCTTTCTGATACAAACAAACAAATGAAACAGCTATAATTAAGTGTTAAAGCAAAAAGCTAAAACTCTTAATCTCTAACTTAGCAAGTACAGAATTCACTTACATACGAATGCTTTTTCATGCATACTGTTTTAAGGCAACCTATTTGATATTGAATGATTGGGTTTACTAGGCAAAACAGAACATGCAACTCAGACTTGGCTGAGGTCAAATTACTCCATTTCTATATCATCTCACTCTTAAAGTAGCATAAAGTAATTTTTTACTACAGAGTACAATAGATTTTATTAGGAAAAAGCATGAGGAAGGCACATATGCCAGCTAGTCAATACAGGTTCTTGCAGCTAGCCATTTCTACCATAAATTAGTTCATGACCATACTCGCAAATGGAACAATACCAGCTTGAACTGCAAAAGGATGCAGAAATCAAAATCCACCACTAACAACTCCCCGAACGACCAACCCAAAGAGGAAACAATAAAAAAAAAAAAAAAAGTGAAACTAGAGACAGAAAAGATACCAGATATCTTCTTTTGTAAACCCAATTCCAGAATGCTCAAAGTAGGTAGGAATACATCTCCATAAAAATGTATATGCAAACTATGAGAGACATTTCAGTCTTTTCATCATAATAGCACAGATTGGGGGATAAATTGCTTTTACCTCTAAGAATGCACACTTAGAAACATTACAAACAATCTTTTCAGGTCTTTTAATTTAGAAATGAAACTGAAGGAAAAGGCTATTATGTAAAAGAACTACAGAGCAATCACTTGGTGAAGGTGACAGTTGAGGGATCGACCAAAAATACCAAAGCAACCAAGAGTTTATAAAAGCTTTTGACCTCAATTTGCATCATATTTGTGAAAGATGGAAACGGATGGAGATGTTCCACCAAAATCCAGATGAATACCAACGACCAGACTGTATCATGTGATAGTGGATTTTAATTCATATCAGAAAAATAAGTATCTTCACAAGAAACTTTAACTAGCTCAGTTGACCAGCAAAGGATTTGGAAACTCGGTGGGTACTGTCAATGCACTTACCTTTTTACTAGTTACTGCTAAGGAAAAACTACAATTAGCTAGACTTTTCACACAAGCCTAGAATTAGAAAATCTCCTTTGTAAATTTACCATCTTTTAACCAAAAAAGGAAAGAGAGGCCAGGAATTGTTGTCATACCAAAAGTTTATCAGCTTCTTCGTGTTTTCCTTTCAAACGCAGCTGCATAGCCTTAGCCACCAACTTGTTGGCACTCAGTCCCTCATCAACCAATGCAGTACTTTCGCTTAGTGTTTTTGTACTTGATGATACGGCTTCTGACTCTACATTGCCCTTGCCATTTGAATCTGAACCAACAGAACTACCTGCATCTTTACTCTCCTTGTGGTTAAATTCACACATGAAGCTTCCATCATCAGTAAACTTATTTAAGCCAGAGACTGCAGCAGAAATAACGTCAGCATCCTGGGTAGACATGTTTTGACTTCTTCGCTTTCCCCAGGACAAGGAATCACGAGCTTTAGGGGCTCTCATTTCAGGGTGCCGAAGGGATACATCCCGCAAGTAATCTCGTCCAGATTTCTGAGGATCACAATCATAAAAATATTATTATATGTCAGCAAAAGTTTAGCTTTTCACATATAAAAATATGAAAGCATTTAGCCCCATTCACGATAACTGGAAAAAAGAAATGTTATGATTGTTGCAGCTACCTTGTCATTATCTCTTTCAGTTTGATTTTCTGCGGCAGTTTGGTGCTCCTCATTCAGCCCTTTTTTCCTGTTTTTAATGGCATGCAGATGAGCACGGGATGGAGCAGCCCTATGAGATGCTGCAGATACAGCTAGTTTACCAAGAGAGCCCCAGCGCTCTTCAGCAACCTGAAAAATTTTAATGCATAAAAATCAAATTTTTTATAGTTCATGCTTGTTGCTTGATATGATCTGAAAGCCAAGATAGCATACCTCCTCTAGTTTTCGTCCTTCTCGGGCTGCTTGCTCTTGTGCACGCTTCAAGGCTTTAAGTCGCCAGCTTGCACCTCCATCCCCAATTAGAGAAGATGCCAAAAGATGGTCCCCACCAGCCTTTTTCCCATCTTCGTCTGGATAGCCGCTTCCATCATCCTTCAGATAAGGGTTCAATTCCCTGGGATTCACTTTTGGTGTCTGGTTGACAAAGCAGATAATGTTAAAAAATCATGTAGACTTATTGTAAGCTAAAAGAACATATATTTCCAAACAAACAGGAGCTGCATATATATGAAACCACATATACTCTCATCTAACAATCCTAAGGTTCAATGGCAACTAGCAAAGCATACACGTCCCTAACAAACAAGAAATATTAACACAGAGTACACAATATATTCCAAATTCAAACAAATACAACAACAATTTAGAACCAAACAAGAAGAGGAAAAAAAAAATCTGACATGCAATATGGTCAATAGATGGCAACCCAAAACTTAAAAAGAAAAAGGAAATGACCTTTTATCCATAAACCCTTATAAATAAAGGGTGTGATAAAAATGAGGGCATTTCATATGTTCTGAAAGATTCTTACTTGGCATTTACCAGTGATGGATAATATGTTTGTAGAAGCAATTCATCATATTTGTAACAGGGGTATTGCTACAAATCTTATAAATAAGTAAAAAAAGAACCAGAAATCATCCTAAGACAACAAGACTACAGAAGCAAATATTTTGCAAAAGGAGTTCATGAAACTCAATTAGGCACAGAAGAATGAGGTTTCTGCAGATCTAGCTAATATCACTTTGACTTATAATGTATATGAGCCATATTTCAATATTCAGCCCTTACATTAACAAGAATTCTGGGCAATAAATATAACTAGACAATGTTGTGACAGAAAAGATATAAGGGTAAAAATAGAAATTACAAGCAGGTGAAGTTTGCACATCGTTGAAAATGACATACCTCCTCGGCTGGAGGTTCGTCTGGCTGGCTGTTGACAGTCACCGCTGGCCTTCTATTGGTCCTTTCTGCAGGCCTTAGCATCCACTCTAACCCCATTTCCTTCCTGACAATTTCCTTCTCCTTTATCGAAGATCCTCCACCATAATCTACACAGTAAAGCACAAGCACAGTAGACAAGTTAAATGAACAAAATAAACTGGGAAACTATAAAACATTTAAACATAATATGACCTGAAAACACATACCAGCCAAGTTATCATCTGCTATATCTTCTTGACCCTGTCTTGCCTTACTCTTTTTCTTTTTGTATTTCCTACTTCCCTTTTGACGCTCATCTTCAGAATCAGATGAAGAATATTCCTCAGATGAATAATATTTCCTACCAATCTTAAATTTCTTCTTTGACCTACTTCTCTTTTCATCCATATCATCATTTCTTCTCTTTTTCCTACTGCCATCTTTCTTTTCATCTTGCTCAGAACTGCCCTCACTTTCACTTGACGAATACTCATCAGATGAGTACCATTTATTGTTTTTTCTTGAACCTTTCTTTATTCTATCAAGATCATCATCTGAATTGCCACAACTAGGGCTCTTCTTTTTTCTCCTATGCTTTTCCTTTCTACCACGAGATTTCGTCCTCTTTACATCTGAGTTTCCATCTTCTGCCTAACATGAAGTATCAAATTAAAAAGTCATAAATTAAATCAAAAATAAAATGATAACATTCTTTAAATCGATGTATTTTTTTTTTAAATACAAAACAAAACAAACTCAAAGTGATAAACTTTACTTCATCAACTTGATCTCGAGGTATAAACTTTACTCCAGAAAGCATCTTCTATCTTCTCAGATCCACCCCGACTTTAAATCTAAAAGAAAGAATCATAAATTCAATAGGTGGAATAAAAATGCAAGAAAAAAGTCCAGGAAAATTATACAAACAATACTAAAAATGATGAGCAACTCACTAGAATAGGCAATAATAAAATAAACTGCATATTAAGATATCCCAAAAATCAACAAGTAAAATTCAAACACGAAAAACCACAGAAACAGAGCAACTTCAATGACTAACCTAACCAACAGTGTTCATGTTTGATTATTAAGTTTGCAACCAAAGATTCAATTGCTCACTTTGCCTCGTTCCTTTACTCAGGCTTCAGTATTGATAAAGATGGCGTTCTTTTTTCCTCAACTAAAAGCTCTGTGTCTCAAAATAGGAATCGAAAGAGAGTACCTTATATCGAATTACAAAATTTTCGCATGAAGAGCCCAATCAACATACCTGCTACACATGTTCAGGTGAATGGACGGACCAAATAATGTTTAATTGTATTGATCCTAAACGCTTTTTATTTTAACTTGGACTTGATTATTCTTCTATTAGGTATAAATCCAAAACAAAAAAATTCTTAAGAAAAACAATTAAAAATCATCAGCATTATAAGTTCATTACCCAATATCATCACAATTATACCGTCAACAGCATTCATTATTACAGATTTTGTCAAAACAAATGAAAACTGATAAAAGAATACCTGGTAGAACCAACTGGAGGCGGCGACAGGATGCCGGTGTCGTCGAGGGACGAAGGGTTTCGAAGATTATAACTGAAAAGGATTCTGCTCTTGTTAATTTCCCTCAACAATTAGAAATTAGGGATTTTTGTATTTTTGTATTTTTTTTTTAATTAAAATGGCGGATTCCGGTTCCGGATCTACCATATTAGACCTGATACGGACCGGGTTTGAGAATGATTTAAGCGCGCTCTAGAATTTGTTTCCAAAATACTGAACCAGAATTTTAATAAATATAAAGTGCTAATTCTAAAATTCAAACATACACAACTCATTTTATTTTTTAAGAAAAAAAAAAGTATATCCTATGATCAAATTAATACATAATAAAAAAATTTAATGCCAAAATTTAATCACATAAATCATAGTTTTTGTAAAACAGAAATTATATCCTATAATCAAATCAAACAATACAATACGAAAAAAAATAAAATCATTTAATCGATCCATCAATAACAAATATGCGTGTTGAAGGGCATTGTCTGTCCTTTAATAGTTATATGATCTAATGTCGTTGCATGCGTTTATATACTGTTTACACCCATTTTATTAAGAAAAAAAATTACATAATTTAAAATACATATATCTTGTTGTGCGATAAATCCATCTTGTATGGATTCACGTCACGTGTCCTAAGACTATGCTACCATCCAAGCCGCATGTCTATAAGAGGGTTGTTTCACTTATAAGTCTATCAAAACATTTGTAAGTTTACCAGTTGTACATGCTATTCTATCTAAAGTTTATTTCATTGGAAACTTTACCCTAATTAGGGGAGGCTCATTCATAGCTTGTACAAGTTGCACTTGTATATAAAGAAAACACTACCAAAAAAACAGAGGTAGGATTTGTATCAAGCATCTGAACCACTTTAAAAATCTATTTCTTGTGTTACTGTTTTGCATTTTATTTCGTTCATTGATCCAACATCAGAATCCAGGGTTTAATATAAACTCCTATTTAGATTCTATCACGGATCCTACGTAACTTTTCGTTGGTACGAATGTCTAAATCAACATATCCTAAGAATCTCATAATAAATAATATGTCATTTTATGTGATATTAACATGTAAACGAAACAATAATTTAGCAAACAATATGACAACGTATGCTTAATAGGATGGTATCTAGTGGGCAAGTCAGTCACGGGATGAGTCGCAGGTATATGCAAAATCCATTCGTGACGTTTGCTACAAACATTTCAGGTTTTAGCTACAAGTATTTCTAATTCATGCATGCAAACATGGGCAGAAACAGGTTGAGTTCTAAGTAGAATTGATGCATGTCATGTTTTAAGATTTTTAGTAATTGGATGTGTAGTAATCTGTGTAGATATTTTTCAGTTCAATCTTCGCTACAGGTCTTGGTTAACACAGCTTGATTGTAGTCATTACTTGGACCCAAAACAGTGAAACGCCTCAAGTTACATTTCTGATGTGATGAGAGAAAAAGCCTTCAAAATCTTCCTATAAGTTTGGTCCAAACTAAGATATAATTGACCCCCATTTTCGGCTGATGTAACTTTAGAATTGTTTCATAATTCACAACCCAGAAACCTATCTACTGCCTACAAGTTAGATATAAGATATAAAATCCAGTCCTCATAAAATATATTATGAGCTAATATTTAACTGTCTTGGCTTTCTTGGAGCATTGTCTATAAAACGAAGTAATTCTGTATTAATTATATATAAGATTAATATAAAATGTTGAAAACCATGACCTGTAACATTGAAAAGGTCTTGCTCTCCCACCTGAAGATCAATGAATAATTCAAACAACCCGGCCGGTCCTATCAAACTCCAAGGGTAAAGGATACATAGCCCTACAAATACCCATTTATTCGCAATAATATATCGGCAAAGTTGTCGCTCACTCCATTTAGTTATTACAAATGGCTCCAACAATCCATTTTTTTTTTAAAATTAATCTGAGAATATAGACTTTATACTCTCTGTACCTAAGACTTGCGTAGTATAAATTAAGAGGACTAGAGAGGAACATGCAGTTGACTATATTAGAAAACATCTGCAAAATTTACACAAGTGATCAAAAATTTTGAGTAGCTTCAAGACAATCCAATCAGCCCTCCGTAGTACTAAAGAACAGATTAATCAAACAACATATGAACTGCATCATTTTGTCTTTATTTATTTGTTGGGCGCAGTTGTTAGGTTATCTTTATGAATATGTATTTGTCACTTCTTTATGTATATTATCAACTAAGTATCAATTAAGTATTTTGAAGTAGTAATTAAATCCACGATGGCCTGTCTCGTTTCAAAACTGGGAAGCCGGCGATGCTCAAACTGGAATGAAGGACTTAGTCACTTAGCTAATCTCTCTTCCTCCTATAAATACTCTTGCCGATATAATGAAGTTTCTCTACCTCAAAAAATAAGCAACAAAAGAGAAAATTAAGAAGTAGAAGTGAAGATGGCAAGTTGTACGTCATGCTGGTGAGTATGATATATCAATAAATACTACCTAAAAAATTGTATAATAATTACTTAATGTGTTTGTTAATTATGTACTGCATTTACAGGTAAGAGTTCATGGCCAGAGCTGGTGGGCATAAATGGGGAGGTGGCGGCGGCTATTGTGATGGCGGAAAATCCAACGGTGAGAGCCAGCACAGTGGAGGAAGGAACTTTTGTGACAGATGATTTTCGCTGTGATAGGGTCCGAGTGTCTGTGGATCAGCAGGGGCTTGTCTCTTCGGTGCCTAGAATCGGTTAAGAAAAATGCTTTCATAATATGTTGTGTTCGTTTATGTATGTTGATTACATAGTCGGGGAACTGAAATTCATGTAGTTCTTGTGTTTGTTCTTGCAGTGTGTGTCGTGTGGTAAAAGTTTCGATCGATTAAGTAACAAGATAATTGTTATAGGGTTTGTTTTTCGTTTTTATTTAATTTATTATTGCAAAATAATGCGAAAAATGTGTCACTGGATGGGCTTCTTCTCTTCTTCGATATAGAGACCCTTCATTTTGGTGATAGATATGAAAACCTTGGATACTCCTAAGGCATACTATATATATTGCCATCCATAAGCTCTAAAGCTTTGGACAAAAAAATCAAATTCCGAACACCAAATTAAGCAATTCTTGTGTCAGGATATGTGAGAGGCTGTCCAGGGGCAAAACAAGGATTTTATTTTAGGGAGGGCTGAAATTTTTTTCAAATAAAACTTAAATTTATATTGATATTTTTTGATAAATTTTGTTGTCATGATAAATTTTTATTAATAGAATAAAGATCACGAGGGACATGAATATAGTGAGTCTTACCCTTTGAATTTTGTTTTTCTAAGGGTGAGCGGTTTCGAGTACCCTGCATTTTTTGGGGAAACTGGAGCTGGAACTGATAGAATGAAGGACAAAAGTGAAAATTAACTAAATGAGAAAAGCTAATTGTAAAAACGATGTCGTTTACTCTTGTTATGCAATGTTTGCTTATAAGCACATCACGTGTATCTTGTATAGTTAGTTAGAAAAAGAATCATTTCAGTTTTTCAGTTTTGTGCTCTCTGTTTTTCTTTCTCTGCTTTGTTAGTTTTCTTGAGCTTGTAGAAGAAGATTCTTCTTCATCCTTTCATGGTATCAGAGTCATAGACACACGTCTTTGGAAAAAGATTTGATCATGTGTTTTTTGTTTTCTGTTCAATTCAAGTCTTTGTTTGCGAAAACCTCTCTATGAAAAACAGATGGAAAATACCTTAGTTCAAATGGAGAATCCAATTACACTGCCAACACTTCCTTCAATCTCTGTCAAGTTGAGTGACAAAAATTATAATTACTGGAAGTCTCAAATTCTTCCAGCTCACTGGCCATGGACTTGAAGGCCATATCACGAGAGAGAAAGTTTGTCCTCCGATGTTTATAATGGACAAGACAGATGGATCTGAGCAACCAAAGAAAAGAGGTAACCCTAACTACTTTTCTTGGCAATGAACTGATCAGTTCTTAGTGAGCTGGTTAAATTCTACTATTTCTGAGTCCATGTTTCGTCATGTTGGGAAATGTATTACTGCTTATGATATCTGGAATACACTTGAACTGCACTTTCATTCAGCCTCTAAGGCTCAAACTTTACATTTGAGAAGTCTTTTACAAAGTACTAAGAAAGATGCACTTACTATGAATGAGTATGTATTGAAAATGAAAGAACTTGGTGATGAGTTAGTAGCCAGTGGAGTCTTAATCAGTGATGAAGAATTGTTAGTGTACATACTAGATGGATTAGGACCTGAATATGATGCTGTTGTAGCCAACTTAGTTGCAACAAGTAGTCAAGTTACTCTACAGGAAGCTCAATTCCTTCTTCATAAGCATGAAATCCGACTTGAAAGACAACATAATGTGTACTCTAATCTTTCTGATCACTTAGCTTCAGCATTACTTGCTACAAAGCAGAGTGAAACTGTTGTTAATAAAACTTCTCAGTTCAAGAATGGGAATATAACGGCATCTGTACTAGTAAATGCATCATCGCATCTTGAGAATTCAAGTGTTCAACCTGCCTATCCTTCTGCTCAGTACTTGACCTCACAGACTGGCCATCCTGATGGTGGAAATATATTTCCACATGAATATCGACATTCTTCTAAGTATGCTCATTCTCAGTACTTGACTCCACATAATGGTTCTCCTGATGATGGATTTTCTCATTATCCTAGAATGATGATGTTTGGTCCTAACATGCAAAGAGGACGAGGCAGAGGTCGAAGCTATTTTCGTCCTAAACTGATTTGCCAAGTATGTGGGAAGACTGGCCATTCTGCTCTTCACTGCTATCACTGGTTTAATCATGAATATCAGAGTATTGCTGGCTTACTTCCTGTTAACCCAACCAACACCACAATTCCTAGTTACACTGATGCTTCGACCCAAGCATTAATGACAACAAGAGTCATACCTCCTCAACCATTTTCCTACTCATCATATGGACCTCCATCTAACCAAAGACCTACATTTAACTTTCGACCACAACCACCTCAATCAAACACTCCTCAGTTTCAATCATCTTATACTTCAGTTAGTGCTCCTTCACCACAGTATGTTTCACCTCCATCACAACAGTATAATGCGCCTCGATCATCCTTGACAACTCC